TTTTGGACTTTTTTTTTCTTTTTGGCTCTCTTTTTCTGTAAATTAAAGCAATGCCAATACTTTCAAAAAGGAAATGATTAATAATGATACAGATCATGGGTTAAAAGTAAAATAAACCATCATGGAGAACTCAGCATAAAAGAGTCAATCATTTTGTTTAAAACAAAGCTTCTCCACAAAACCATTAAGAAATTCAGAAAGTAATATGACATTTTCAAAAATAATAGATAAAATATATAGCTGCATAAAATAAAGCATTCTCTCTGTCCATGCAGAAAACAGTACGTTTTCAGCAAGCAGCACAACCAGATATTAGGCAGATTGCCCTCTCTCAACAGATTGTCCTCCTGATGTGTTGGAATACAATCCCTATCATCCACAGTCATTGGATGATGGGTGATGTATTCCAAAGAAATGGGAAGACATGGGAAGAGAAGGAAGATCTAAATTATTCAAGAATAAATAAATCAGGCAAACATTGTTGCTGTCAGACTCCTGTAGCTTAAAACCTTATGTAACAGACAGTATGGAACACACACTTCTTTGTGTGTATGATAACCTTCAAGTTATTAATGCAAAGGTGGGCAGATGGAAGGATCAGGGAGCTGGAAAAACAGTCCAAAGTCTTTGGGTTCTTGGCCACTAGAGGGTGCAAGTGCTCCATAGGGACTTATTTCTGCCAAATTGCAGTGAAAACTGCCTGATACTGAACGGGCAACATGATCTCCCATGGACTTGATGAAAAACAAATAGCATCCTTATTGCAGAATTAACTGCCAATATTCACAAGCGGGGCTGGAAGATGTTGCATTTAAAATTCCTAATGAAAAACATCCCGAGGCCCTTAGCACCCCTTGGCATTTGAATACTGAGCATGACTGGCCTTAAGCTCCAGACAAGGCAGTGCCCTCTGTGCTGGCTAAGGATGATATGACTGAAGCCCAACACACTGGAGGGCACCGAGTTGGGGACAGACTCAAATAGGATGAAGTGGCTGAATTTGCACATTGTGCTAAGCCATAATGCTGCGTTTCATATTGTTTTGGCTTAGCACTGTGTGCAAAGTCAGCCAACTGTAGCTTGGTTGATAAATCATCATTAAATAAACTAAGGCCTAATGCAGCGTGCAGTCTTCCCCCATGTATAGCAGTCTCAAAGAAAAGCAACCAAAATATTTTTCCTTTCTGTACATAATTTCCCTTCTCCTTTATACCAAGATCATGCTCCAAATGGCATCTTCATTTCTTTGCAAACTTTTTCACACACTGGAAAGGCTATTTTTGCATCCAAACATTTCATAAAGCATTAAAAAACTATTACTTCTCCACTTCCTGTGTTAGTATTATCCACAAGTTAAATATTCCGAGAAACACAGTATTTCAGTTGTGACATAAGAAAGTGCAAATGCAGAAGTGGTCTATTCCCAGTGAACTGTAAGAAGGCCTAGTTTGGCTGCAAAAGGCCATCTGGGAACCATATGTCAACTGTTCAGAGTTTTGCCAATCAAGTGTAATAAATAAATACATTTCACTGGAATCTTATGATATACAGCCAAGCCAGGTCAGAGAAAGTACAGCGTGTTAGGTTTCCCATTATTTGAGAAGACAGCATTGTAGGTTAAATGGTTTATGTGGCTCAGTGTAGTGGGGGGTGCGTGCGTGTGTGTGTGTGTGTGTATTCATGCATACATATGCACACTAAGCCAGTGTTTCTCAATTATCTGGCTGGGGAATTCTGGGAGTTGAAATCCACCCGTCTTCAAGTTGCCACGGTTGAGAAACACTGTACTAAACACGAGGAGTAAGAGTACTGCCTGGTAGTCTGTGAAGTCAGCGTGAAACTAAGATGGCCAATAAGTATTTCTGCATTCCAGAAAATGCAGGTATAATTCACCCATAGAAAACAATTGAACGTTTAAACAAGCTTACTTTAGGCTGAGGTCAGCCCACTCTGTGAATGTGGAATGCACGTGATTCGATCCTCTGTGAACGTGTTCACTCAGGAAGATAGAAATAGAAACAAGTCCTAGGTGCTAAATATTTACATACTGTTTTCAAAAGGGTAGAAATCACTCAAGGGAACAATCAGCACAGCAGAAAATGCAGCTCCTTCACAAATGTTTTGTCCTTTTTTCCCTTCTTTGATAGCCCCTCAACCCCCAGAACAAGTATTAAAACTACTGTGAAGAAAATGAGAACACTTCTCTTCTAGGTTTGTAAACAGAGTTCCTTGGTTCTCTTGAGAAGATGCTAGTCAGTGATTATTTAAGAGGAGAAAATGGAGTAAAACCTATTTTTCACTCATCCAGATCTGCTTGAGGAGTGTCCTCAGAAAGCAGCCATTCCACTGGGGTGGTGCGTATGAAGGGAATGCTCCACAGAAGCCAAATCGGGGGCTTCATATACTGTATATTAAAACAGACGGCAAATACGTGCTAGGTAACCCACACCTCCTATTGTGAAAATCTCTGTCAGTGGCAGGCACCAACAATAAATAGTGAGGAAAGAATAATAAATGCTACAGGTATTGTCATTTAACACCCATATTTTCTCCCCCAGAACACCTGAAATAGCATTCATGGTTTGTAAATGTTTTCCTTATAAGGGTTTGTTGCAGAACTGGATCCCCTTTGTTTCAATTCCTGTGATCCTCCAGCCCAGCAGACCTTGTGCTGTCTGGTTTATGTTATATCACGTGTGTCCCTGAGATAGCTGCATGGATGACTGTTTTCTTCTGACTACCAGTCCCTTTCCTCAGGCTGTTTTTCAGCCATTGTAATAACAGCACAGCTTTGTCCTGGGTGCTGAGGCTCCATTCCTCAACCTGCTGCCCTGAAGTGTATTTAACTACAATTCCCGGAATTCCCAGACAGAATGGCTGCCTGTAAGAAACCCAGTTAAGGCAGGCTATGCTAAATGTGTTCTCTATCTGATACCATGCCGAACTGTCCCCTTGTTCACTTTATTCCTTGTATGCTGCCAAGAAAAGCTTCTAAACAGTTTGTTCCAGAACCCCTCACTTTTTACAAAAGTTTGCCAATCACATTCCACCTTTGTTCTGTGTTGCAGTCTGTGGAGGGATTCCTACAACAATATATTTACAATATGATTTGGTAATGAGTTGCCTGCTGATTTCAACTGTTTGTGAATGGACAATATAGAATTTCTGGATCCCCAAAGTGAGATGCACCACCATTGACTACTGTACTGTTCCCTAACTTGAATGGCTTATTCTCCAGGAGGAGGAGGAGGAGGAGTGGACAGTTAAATTTCAGGCTGTTTTTAGAAGGCTACTGTGGCAACCCCACCTGAACTTGTCACCAATAGTTTTAATGCTGGGTTGAGAGATTGTTAAGAACAGGAAGTGGTAGCATATAGATGCTTTTCAAGTTCTTTCCAGTGAAGAAAGCTGAGGCCAAACAATATCACTGGGTGAGTGGGAAACATTTTTTTCCTGAATGAGGTCCATAGTTAAATGGGGTAGGGAGAAGTCTTTAATATTTTACTGGAGGATAAAGAAAGGATCAACTGATGAAATGAGGTGATAAGACTTTTTGGTAAGTATTGCCGCTGAGATGCACACAAAATAGAAATCTCCCAAGATTTTCCATCATCCAACCACTAGTTCATACATGGATAATCACTTAAGGGTTGCCATGTGTGAGTGATCCATTAAAGATCTGATACCATTTATCAAATTTTCATAATGCCTCTGACTGGGTTTGTATGACACACAATGTGGTTACTGAATAAACCCATTTTTTTAGGTTTACACAAAACTAACCAAATGGGCTGTCTTCATACAATGCTGAGCATTCCCACTCTCCCCAAAACTAATCAAACTTAAAACTAACCAAGTTTTCCCCTTCAGCAGATGCATTGGCTGGATCTTTGACTGACTTGTTGTGTGAATACATCCACTGTTTTATCATGGAGCAAGTTTGTATTTAGCTGCCAGTAAAGGAGTAATAAGGAATCATAAACAATCAGACCAGACTAGACCCTGATTGACTGCCCACAAAGACATTGCAAGATGGACGAAACAGACCAAAGCTTAGTGGATGGACTCATGCTTGGCGTGCCAAAGATCTTGGACCTAACTCCTACTCATCAGAGTAGACAATGCCAGGTCAGAAGGAGAAAGTGCAGGTTGCCATCAGTGGGACAAAAGAAGCAGTTCTTGTGAATGTCCACAAGGTGTCAATATCTCTTTGTGCATGCTCCTGTTAAAACACTTCCTTGGAAGCTGGAAAAAGAGTAATGCATTTATACATACAAGGAAAAACAACAATTATGTAGGATAGTTATCTGTAAAAATCAGCTGTTAGCAGACTGGCATTACATACCTTCAGTACCAGGTTAGGAACAGATCGTCATGGCGAAAATCTTTCCGGGTGGTCACTAAGAGTCGACAACTTGATGGCATTTAATCAATCAATCAGAATCCTCTGGCTATGTTGTTTCTCTGATGAAGAGCTTTTCTTTTAAAATTCCTTTGCTTAGGTAGTATAACATAGGACTGAACCTAATACATAAGTGATCTTATAAATATTAGACTGAGTTTGAGCCAGACTGACTAGTCTGTGCTTGAAAGTGTTCCTTCTCTTCATTGATTGCCTGGGATTTGACAGAAGATCCTTGCTGGAAGGAGAAGGTGGGGAGACTATATTTCAGTTTGTTTTTAGCAAGCACAGCAAAAGTACATTGTCTACAAAATAGCTCCATTTCCTGTTTCTAATTTCATACCGTCTCTCTGCATGATTCAAAAAGTGACGGAGAGTCTCAAATGCGCTACAAATGCATGGAGAGGCTGTAAAGTGTCATTTTTCTTTCAGAATCACTCAGAATGTACAAAATGCCAATGTGTTTGGCAATGTTTACCAGGATTTGATATCAGTTGAATATTGGGTGTAAAAAGTTTGAGCTAAAATTAACCTGAATCTTGTTAGTGCAATTGACTCATGTTTCTGGGCTACATTTTCCTTCATTGTCTCAACACAGGTTTTGGTTGGCTGTCCAAGATCTCAAAAAACAACCATTACAAGATGTAGCTACCAGAGTAGAAGAGATCTGGCAAGAGTTTCTTGCTCCTGGGGCCCAGAGCGCCATCAACCTGGACTCTCACAGCTATGAAATAACAAGCCAAAACGTCAAAGACCCAGGGAGGTACACGTATGAAGATGCACAGGTTCGGACTTGGATGTCATTCCTAATAGTGCACTAGAACAAAAGAGGGAATGCAGCTTTTAGACAGCAAAAGTGCTCCTGGAAAGTGCATAACTTATTAATATGTAAAGTGGAAATGCTTCAGTCTCAGTCAGGAGAAGAAGCAGGAATTGAATAAGGAAATTTATCATTTCAAATTATCATTTTTTTAAAAAAGATGATGATGACTGCTGCTACCACATTTGGTTCCTTACAAAATCTACAACGTTTTTGTAGAATTTATTTCTTACAATGAAAATAAAAGGCTTTTATTAGCTTTCACCCCACTGATAGGCTTCTTCTCTATGCCTCATATTTGAGAGAGATCATCTGCAAGGTAGATGTGCAAAGTCCTAGAGGGCCATCAAGCCCTAGTTTAGTACAAGAGTCTAAATTAAATATCTTTGGCATGTCTGTTTAGCAGTCATTGGCTCCTTTGTTGCACTGACTGTATTGTTAGGAAGTCTTTTCACACATTCACGTAGAAACTACCTTCTTGTAACTTAAATGGATCATTCTGTGTCCTGCACTACAAAACAACAGAGAGCAGGTTTGGACCTTAATTGGAACTACCAGTGTCCTATTTCCTGAATATGAACTTTTACAATGAGAACAGATCTCATGGGTAAAACCTAGCACACCCTGATTCAAATTACGATCTGAGTTCACATGTGCATGCATGCATGCATGCATGCAGGCACACATAACCACATTCCTGTGAAATAAAGTAGACATCATTAGTTAAAAGAAAGCATAGGTGTGGTAAGGAACGTAAGTGAATACAAGAGAGTAAGCCATGGCAGCATCTTCCAACTAGATATGTAAAAAATGTTCCATTGTTCACGGATGATTTTTCAAGGTGGGCCTCTACTTAAGCCACCACTTCCTTTTGCCCCCCCCCCCCGCTTTCCTGCTGGATGCCCTTGCTAAACCCACCAATCCTTCCTGCTGCATTGGTCAAAGAGAGGAAATCAGCAATTGGAGCAGGCAGGTAGCAATTGGTGCAGGCAGGTGAGCAATTACAGAGACTCTTTGCAATCACTTGCTCAGTCTTGGCTGCCAGGAGAAAAGAAAGGCTGAGTAATCATGAGAATGTGGTGGAGCAATTGCTGCCTCTCTCATTTATCCTTTTTTTCTGGATGGCATGGCAGAGGCTATGAGATTAATTGCACAGAATCACCATTACTGTGGTACCTGGAGGGAGATGTCAGAGGAGTGAGTGGGAGAATGAAAAGGTTACATCATCCATGAGCAACTCAAACAGAACAAGTGAATGGACACAGCTGCTTGCACACTCTCTTGGCAACATCTGTGGCCAGACTCACTGCAGTGCCCAGAGAGAATGGACATGAGAAGAAATATTTGCATCTGCTGCCACTGCATTCTCCCTGGTTCCCTCCTCTTCCAGAAATATTGGAGGAAGATGGATGGGCACTGCTAGAAAAGGTTCCAGGAGGTATCTTCCCTTCTACCTTTGGGTTTTCCTGCAGGGAACTGTTTCATCCCTGCAGTTGACTGTTTTTCCTCAAAAGTGCTAGTGTTATAAATCCTCAGATATGTGTTTAATATCATATGGGGTTAAGGCCACAGTTACTAAGACTAACCTGTGTTTTTCAGAAGCTGAACCAGGGAATTTAACTGAATTGACTTCTCTGATGCATATACTGATGTGATGCAGCGCCACCATTTCTGCTATGTGTGCCAAATGTGTATGAAGGAGGAAGCATGGGATGGACAACCTGATGTCTGATAAATTTTTGAAGGGCAGTCCCTGTTGATCCAACCATCATAGCAAATGGCAAGGTGGTTGGAAGTGCCTTCCAAAACTTGAATGGATGCCAAGTTGTCTAATCCTGCAGGGGATCTACAGCTTGAGGCAGTAGAAGGACCTGCCAGTCCCTCCTATATGCCCCTTCCCAACCTGCTAGCAATACAATCACTCAACCCCCAGCCTGCCAGTTTACAGGTCACCCTATCAACATTACCGAGAGAGCTCCCTCAATAATACCACCAAGGGTAGTGAGCCACAACTGAGAGCTATGTGCCCTCAGTGCCATACAACAGTGGCTCTGGGCAGTGGAGCAGCAGGATTGCCCTCCATTTACTGTCTATCCCAGTCTACTGCTCAAAGTGGCCATTTCATTCCATCTAACAGTAGGGCCCACTTTTTCCCATTGGCAAAGAGGAATGTACTAAGAGTTAAGCAGTATAACTGGGTCAGGACCAAAAAGGAAGCAAAAGAGGAGGAGGACGTTGACAAAAGTAAAGGGCAGCATAACATCTCTGGTAACAGACAAACAGTGGGATGTGGATAAAGGCTTCAGGTTTAAGAATAGTTACAGCACTGTTTTTCAGACTTGGCAACATTGAGATGTATGGACTTCAACTCCCAGAATTCATGCTGGCTGGGGAATTCTGGGAGTTGAAGTCTACACATCTTAAGGTTGTCAAGGTTGAAAAACACTGAGTCACAGCATTCCAGATGCGAACTATTAACCGGTTTACCAGCAGTCACTCCTTTTTAGGGACTTCTGGGAGTCTGGACTCTTGGCAACAGATACTAAATAGCTTCTTCCACTGCTTTCAGTTCAGGTTTGAGAGCTAAGGAGTGTTTGCTGACAACTAGTTCTAACAAAGTCTTGATGGCAAATGATAGCAATTGTACTGGGTGTATTATACGGAAGGCCACTGCCGAATGAGCAAATCTGGGTTTTCTCTCTGAATGGATTGCAGAGGGCCCAGGTGGGTCTTATATATAGGCCATAAAACAAGATTGCTTCAAAATGCAGAAATGCCCCATTCATCACATTGATTTGCACAGTGACTCCAAGATAGCCACAATGCACAGTGGCTTTATGGTATGCGATTTCTCTGCTTCACATCTTGAAGCAGCAGACATCAATGCTTGTAAGCCCCCCACCCTGATAAGCACACATACATCAGGCTCACATGGAGGCTTGTTCTGAAAATAACTCTGCAACCAAAGCATATACACCCACAGTGAGGGTTGGCCCTGGGTTTCAAGGAATACAAAACCACATCTACAGTATTTTACTTTGCGTATGTTTTTTTTTTCTTTTTTTACTTAAAACTCCTCAAAGATGTGACCAAATATATATCATCATGCTGACAGTTTCTGGAAGGTGGCCTGCTATGCTGACAAGTTATTGCTGTAATGTAGAATGCTTGCAATTGTGAACAGCTTGAATAAAGCCACATCCTGTCCTGCCACCTCCTCTCTTGATTGCTAGGGAAAAAAAGGAACGAGAGCTGCAAAAAAAGTTGCCGTATTTCCACTGCACATTTAACTTTGTGATCAAGTACACTCTTTGCACAGAGATATATTGGCAGAGTAAGAGTCTTGGCTAGTGACAAGGTTAGAATTAGGATTCAAATACCAGTGGAGGTATGAAATACTTGGGGGGCCTTTTGTGAACTGTATAAATCATCTCTCAGTCTGCCTATATTTATTCAAGGTCTGCCCTCTGTTTCCTGTATCTTTTTCTCTCCCCCCCCCCCCATCACAATTTTTGGTGATGTATTTCTCTTCTTTTGGCAATGTGTAAATGGCCCCTGTCACAACGCCATATGTAAGATTGAAGTATTTCTCATAATGAGTTTTGGCCTTCACTTTATTCCTTGCATCACTGACTCTATATGTGTCTGTGTCTGTGTCTGTGTCTGTGTCTGTGTGCACATTTTGATGAGTATATAGGATATATAACAAGAGTAAGGCTAATTACCAAAGCACTTGCTGAAATGAACAAGTATAGGCGTTTTAAATAAATAAATAATTTTATAAATAGGCTTGCCCTGGACGACAGTTTAAAATCAGCTGCTCGTTCTTTCCGTCTTGCCAGAAGTTTCAGGTCCTTGTTTGGACCTGGAATCACAAAAAGATAACAAAAAAAGTGAAAACTGTCCTGGGGACAGTTAGGCTTGTACCTTCCCATCCATCATATAGGGTTGAATAAGAATGTACCTATCTGTTATCAAAGAGGGAAAGGGAGGAGGAAAACCCATACTTGCACACAAAAGAAAAATGAGAGATGCTTCTGTTGTTGTTTTGCTGAGCTCCACTGACTACCCAATACAGCAGGCAGAGATAATGTTGTCTTATTTTAAATGATTCAGCAGTTCCCAGAACCCTTGTCTAAAATTCCCAACACTCTGGACAGTTGGCTGACTGCCATGCTGTGACCTACCCAGGGTCATCACTGTAGTTTTCTTACACCTTCTTACATCTTACATCTTACACCAACATTGACCTGAAGCAGGGACCTTATCATTATAGATTCAGTGTTATATTAGATCCCCCATTTCTATCTAGGTCTTAGTGAAATTGGTCCTGCAAACATATGTGTTCCTTTTGTTCCAAGAAATTTTACCAAGTGTGTCCTTCATATTTTTCCTAAGATGTGACTTGTGTTATAAGAAATATTCAGAAGGTGTTACATCTTAAGCAAGCTTGAACATCCCAGTTCTTCAGTCATTATGATTTCCTTTCAGACTTTTCTTATTGTTGCATTATCACCTTTGCTTTGCTCTTCAGCAGCACTACTCACAAATGAAACCATGTTGTGATGCCAACCATACAGTCTGAAAAAATAGTAATAGATTCTACAACATACAAAGCATAATTGCTACAAATGTTATTGATCTACTTTCCCGTCCTGGTGTTCTCCGAATGTGGAGGCTCAGCAGATAAATATGAAAACTTCAGCCCCCATCTAAAAATGTTGCCCATCCCTGTATGAGAAATAGATATGGAAGATGACAATCCTGCATATGAACGGCTATAGGATAGTTCTCTGTTTGGAGGCATCAGAGCATTTGAAGGGCTGTCAAGTTCAGCTCTGGTTTAAAGATCAGGACCTTTAAGAAGAGAGTGAAACAGAAGCCTTCAAGTTGCTCACTCAGAGTTAGCAGCATCTGGACAGCAAATCGAGCGGACTTACAGGACACTTGGTCACTGCCTCCCCA